GAAAACGCCGATTTGACCGAAGTGACGCACGTCAGTGCCCATTTTCGCGCTCGACCACCGAGCTTGGAGATAGCTAGCTCCACGCGCTGTTGCTCGGTCTGAAGCATAGCGGGCGCCATGGCCATCTTGACCTCTCTCACCCAGAGCAGGCGACTCTCTCATTTCTTACCTTCAAAGGTCTTAACACTCACGATGAGCGGCTTGGGTCGGTGTGGAGTCATCCGTCGTCGACGGTGGCGTCATGGACGCAGTCGATGCCGACATCTTCTACTGTAGGTGCTCAAGCAGAGCATTTTCATAGCTTGAAAATGCCTCAAGGCACGCGTTGATCGCTTTAGGTCCTTGCGAAGGGAGATGCTGCATTCATCTCAGGGCCAAGCAGAGACATCAGCTTTTTAAGCCCTTTTTGCATGCCCTGAGGAAATTAAGAGAACTGCTATATCCTCAAAGAGGGTCAGTCGTAACGACTCAGGTGTAGATTGACTACAAGTGCTACGAAGCGAGGCTGTCGTCGCTGTTTTGCTTGGAGGAAGCTTGGTTAAGGTCGGTGACCTTCGTTCTATTCTTTGAACCAGTACGAGTGTAGTGGATCGCAATCCACTTACTCCAAGAGTAATGACAACCTTAATCGAAGGCTAATTAACTCTTCCGTTAATGGCGTTAACTGTATTTCTCGGTGTTATTTGCGGCAAAGCTGCCTGTATCTAAGCGTTAGGACTTACTTCGTATATAGTAAAACCTAATTAAAAGCATAGCCAGTGGCTGTTCCAGCCACATACTGACTAGTTGTTTAAGTGTAGCCAGACCATTGTGTGATCACAGCATCTTGTGTGACCAACACCCTTCATACCAGGGCACGTGAATCTCCGTTACAAGAATAAGTCTCCATTCAATCCTTTGGGCCTGAGCCATCTACTTACAACTTACAGGTACTTTTCAGCTCGGCTGGCTCAGGAAATGGCAAAACCAGCTGACAGCTACATTCAAACGTTTCAACAGAATTACGCTGAGGACCTTTACATACCGTCACTCACTCTGCCTTGGCCGACATATATTCTTGACACCGCGGCATACATTAGATTCTTGTTACACCCAAAGGCAGCTGCTTACTGCCTCTTCTTCTAAACTCTACTTCAAAACCTCGGCTGCATTTGTACTGGTCAATTTGGATAATCTCGTGTCTTCCAGCGAAGGTATCAAAGATTTTGCCGCACAAGACGCAGTTTCTTCTTTTGCGAAGGTATATTAATGGTTCCTTAAATTTAACCTGGAGGGATAAGCGAAATACACAGCTTTTCTCGATGACTGGTCGATCTAAGACGTACAGCTTTTTTGACACACCATACCTCAAATGAGATCTAATATCACATTTCAGTAAAATACTAGGCAGCGTTTTGCGCTCTCGAAGGCCTCGCATTTTAACTTAAGGTCCAATAAAACGCTCGACGCTTTTCTCTCCCATCCCTACCCATAGCTGGCATCTACAATGCATCCGCGAGCTGTTTACTGTTTGAAAAAATCGCGCGCCATGAATAATGGCCTGTTCCTCTGCATATATTAATCTTATTAGCGCATCTCAAAGCCTGAGACGTAAAGATCAATTAATTGCCGTGAACTGTGACCTCACCGACATCGATGGGGTTAAGGCTGAATGACTTGACTTAGATCTTCACGAGGTAACAAAGAGCCCATAGCTTACCCAGTCGGTTGCCCTATGCCTATAAGGACCAGGCAAATTCTCGCAAAGAGTTCTTCGGACGACCGTGTATGGTAGCCCGACCCTCTTACATCTCAGCCGAAATAGAAGAGGAATGGAAAGCGCCAATTTTTAGTATTCCCCGTCGCGAGTGCCACAAAGCCGCATTGTAGTCTATATATCTTCAGTCCACCGACTCTGGCGTGATTGCAGCCTTTTCTCTCTGGTATCCAACCGGCCCTCGTAGCCCAGCATTTTAACGACACCAACCTCTATATTGAAAGGCGTGTCATAACCGCCTCCGAGCCATTGTCCGTCAAGTGTACTATCGCTTCATAGCGAACTAAAGTCAAAAGCTTTCCAGCGTGTTCAATTCCTCCGATGATTAATAGTTAAGCAACTCGTGTTCCATCGTCTGAAACAATACAGTCCATTAACTGTTCATTAGGATTGGCTGCATTGCCTGCAAGTGCTGCCAAATGCGACGAGATTGCCGTGCACCTTGCCCGGAAGGAGGTTTCGACTCACAGAGTCCGCCTTTACTACCGACAGAGGTTAAATTTTACACTCTTTAGCCAAGAGCGCTCAAAATAACTCAGCAGTGAGTAAGCTCTGCCAATCTAGGAGTGACGAAAATATTGCATCAAATTTATTCAATGTGAAACCAAATATATTCCTGTGAAAAATGATGTGTATTGTTTGGCGCGAAGCAAACAAACCATGTGAACTGCGAACCACTCCTTTACGGAGAATCATTGTCTTTCTAAGCATTATTACTTTTATTCATTTTAGTGCGAGTTTTCCGTCACGGCAGCTTGACACGCTTGGTAAGCTCGCTGATAGACGCTTTCTTTGGTGATCGAAACGCGCCTGAAAGAAGAAATTGTACACCTCGCTGCTGTTACCAGCACCATTTCCAGTGCAGATACAACCAGACATTTTGACAGTGTTTTCTATAGCAAGGCATGTCGGTGACCATTGTTTTGAAACAAGAGCAAAATTTTTGTTCTAAATTAGTCACGATGCTTAGCAATAGATAGGCGGGCCACCGCTGACCGTCTTGTAATTGATAATCAAATTAACGCGCTGCTGGGACTACCACTAAACCATTGTGCAAAGCGATCGCAGAATTTAAGCGAGAGACGTCCACGCATTGATTTTGGTAGCGCTACATATAATTTATAGACTTTAAAGGAACGGTTTGCTGACCTCATGGACCTATGACCCCACCACAAAAGTGCTCTATTCTTTGGGAAGGGATGGTTCATACGATCTGACTCGCCGATATCAGCCCGATCAAACTTCGTAGCATTCTTTATCTTGAAGGGATTTAACTTTAACGACATGTGCTAAGTGCGCGATGCTATTCAAGAGAGCTAAGATTAATGTCACATGCTTGTACCATCACCAGATAAAACTAACACCACTTGTAATGGGCAAAAGTTTTATAAAACGCTGTTTACCGACCTACTGATGCAGTGTTTTAGTCTGCAACACTAAGCAGTAACTTTGCTGCATTAGCCATTTTACAGTTGTAGCTAGAATGGAAATGAGCAATAGTCTAACCATCCCGAATGGAATTCTAGCACGTTCAGTTGTCGTCGTGGGTTTATTTGAACAGTATACAACCATGCTCTTAGGAACCATACGAATGCAAAGCGCTCTGTTGTAACGTCTTTACCATCGTATATAGCAAATCTACCTGATGATTTAAAAAAGCAATCCGGTTCTGCCCAGATTGGGATGCCTTAACTAACTTAATACGATCATGTAGCTCATATACACCATCCAGGATTTGGCTCATGTTCACGTTGGCTGCGCGCCGAGATTATTGAAGAAAGTCGACGTTCCGCCATTACAATAGAAAATTGCGGACCTAGCTGCAAAAGCGTTGTCTTCTATCAGCCTCTCTAGGTGATCAGGGGTGGCACATCAAGTGAACTGGATTTTGAGCCAGCGTGTTTACCAGGGTTCTGACTAGTTTCTCGTGGAATTAATAAGCTACCCTCCCTCCGTGAGCCCATAAAATTTTAAAGTCCGAATTTGACAAGCATCACTGGCGCTTATAAGCTGACGACTTAGTGCACATTCTAGCATTACCTCCGACATAAGAGAAAACAATGTTGCCCAGCGTAATGCGCTTTCTACTAGCAAGAATAATCTTAAATCTGAACCTTTGCCGGTAGCCATACCAGCAGGCTCATGAGTATGAGCATAGCTATAAATAGCAAAGAGAGGTGCTGAGTCTGCAACTGGACATCTAGGCCTCGCTCCGACGTTTGCAAGATCAAGCATTAAAGGACGTTCTAGTCAGAATATTCTTCACTCAATTTACCTTATATAGCAGTAACGCAGGTGATGTGACATCCATCGGACTCTGTGTGCGGATTGAGTACAATACACTTCGACACTCTCGTTAGTGTTCACTATTAGCGTTATGAATAGTATGAACGTATTTGATTTCTGCCTCCTTAGGCGTGAGTCATTCTTCTGAGGTGTAAGGTAAAGATATACTCATGGAGCAATTTGCAATAAGAACATTGCTCGCACGCATTGACGTGTCTGATACAATCAACAATTACGACGCGGCCATGTCTGCAGAAGCCACTGTCGCTGTATCGTGTATAGACCATCAAGTATGACTTGCATAGCCAGGTCTAACTCATTCGGAACGAGGTGGAGATTGGCGTAATATCTGCGGCCGTGCATTGAAAAACAGAGCGTAGAGAACACTACATATTCAGGGGCTGGCTTCGCCGTTAATGTCACCGTGTTGGATTATGGGGACCGAACCGGGATTCGGAGTGACACTATGAGTGTTTTTACCTCCGTTACCTCACCGAGATTGGATAGTACTTCATCGGCTACAGGGTCCGCGTCTCTCTCGGTGGGTCATTGGACACATTTGGAAGGGAGCTTTAGTGCGGATTGCGCTAGCGAGAACCGATACTATTACGCTCAACGAGAGATACAAACGTCCGGTGGACTGGGTGTATGTAGAAATTTTGCTTTTGCGTAGTGTATAACAAAGTATAAATGAGTACTCTCTTGTGTTCGGCAGCGTAGACTCATAGAGTCAATACTTCTGTGTGCAAGTTTCCGGACGGCCTCAGTGCGTCTGGGCTATCAGCCTGACATCGTTTAAGGAGAGTCGCGCCCGTAATTGCTGAATTCCATTCAACTTGACTACCACGTAATACGATAGATCTCAGATCTTCTCAACGCCTACTTGGACTCAATGGTTCATCAACCGAGCCTGTGTAAGAAAGAAACCATTCGCACCACTCAACCAGGAATACAGGGGGCCACCAGGGTTGAGTGTTAGAACTACCAAATAATTTGCATCTGCATATAATACGGTGCTGCACGGTAGCTTAGAAACCACCGTCTGTGTATTCAGCGTCGCATCAAACGTGGCAGTTGAAGGAAATTACCTTCCACGCCTCTACCCAACCAACGTAGAACAATATTCGAGCTCTACAATCAACGCGATATCCTTTGCGTCCTTAAAGTGGTAGGGTTGATACGAAGATTTTGTGTGTGTCGCGTATGAACGCCCCCCACGAAGAAATCAACGTTACCATTTCCAAGCAAGGGTCTGCCTCATCCCAGATGCTAAAACACTTGAGTCTTGAGCGTTGTCTGTTAATTCCCACATCCCTGACGGCTTGACAAGTCTTCTGACCATAGGAGGCTCGCCTACACGCCTGGGCGGTGAAGATATCTGCAACATCTCTCGCTTCAGAGCTTTCCATTAAGATAACGCGCCTATTACAAATTACTGTGCTCTGTTTTAGATTCTCGCGCGGTCTCGCTAGCTGGAACACCGACAGCGCGATGTGCTTTTGCTTCTCTTGATTTATAGCTAGATTATGGCCATCTTAGTCTTCTTGCCTTGAGAGAAGAGAGTCTTTGAAAAAATATCTCTACCCCAAACGAGCTGTTAATTTAGCAACAGTGACATTACTGTGCGAGTCGATTTAGTTTATACACGCATCTGACCAAGGCGTTCCGGAGGTATATCACTAGCGCATTCTCTAAGCTGGTGAGCTCTCCAGGCGATAAGCTTAAGGTTTTTGGACCGCTTATTGTGCTATCCCCTCGGGACCCTTTTCAGGCAGACGCATCTTAAGCGTATAATGTCGTGTTGGGAACAGATGAGTGTGAACATCTTGTGTTCCATCTTTACGAAGAAAAGCTCCGAATTGGCAAGCGCAAGTGTTATATAATTATCTTTGCAACAGCCATACGTTCTATTTGCAATCCTTGTAGAAATTTTGATCTGAGATTGTTACTCTCTTTCATATTAAAAGGAGTGACAGAATTACTGTGTGAGCTATTTGCCTACTGCTTGTCTCAATTACTATGAACTATTCCTGATCTAGCTTTGCCTGACGTCTTGTCGTCGGGCGCGAAACTTGCTGTTCACGTGAAAAGTTGTGGACAAGGTGCGCGAGGCTCAATCGAAAGGGATGATCAAGCAGAATTAAAATAATCGTCCATGTGAGCTATGCTTTATCGAGAGAAAAGCGGTTTGGTGGAAATGGATCACAATGATTTATATATCGTCGCAGATTTGAAAAACAAGACCAAATACAATGCAAATAAAGTATAACATTCCGACTAACAACTAGAGCACTGTTCAGCTTTTGCTCAAGTTTCGGAATCTTGTAGTTGGCGGCTGCCATCCTTGCCCATGAGCAGCATCATCATTTGCATAAACTGCTCGTGCCGATGACGGTTTTCAGCGCGCTCTTCAGCGCGTTCTTCACTGCGGCGACGTCGTTCTTCCCGTTCTTCATCGCGTCGACGTTCCTCCTCCCGTCGTCGCTGTTCAGTCTCTTCCCTCCGACGTTGCCTTTCCTCTTCTCGACGCCGAAGATCCTCATCTCTATCCAGATCGCGCTGGTATTGCGAGCGGAGAATAACTTTAAGTACTGACGTCAACAGATCATCGCTCGGCAACGGTGTGGTGTCTACAGTCGAATGTTGCCAATCTGTTGACTGGCGCCTCTGACGCGGCCGTGGGACAGCAGCGGGCACATCGCTACCAGCTTTAGTCGCAAACGATGTAGCTTTGTCCTCTCCATTTTCTCGCTTGTCCGCTTCATTTGTTAATTCCTGTCTATGATCGTCACTGTGTAGCGGCTGAAGCATGGCTTCACTAGACTCAACAGGCGTCTCGTCGTTGATGGTTGTAGTGAGTGTGAGTGGCACACCCTCAATCATTTCCTTGTGCACAACGTGAGCAAATGTGATAGCCTGGTTGTTCTTGGCACCCCGTGGTGGAATATTTGAGCGGTACAAACGCGAAAACTTCTTTTTGAGAGAATCGGCCGAGCGATTGTGTTTGGCGAACTGCGCATTGTGTAGCTGTGCAACAACGTCCCATCCCTCGCGCCAGTGACTACGCACTATTTGAAGCAAACCCATTGATTCAGCCTCCGTGAAGCCATCGCCACGTCGCTGTATATGCGCACCAAGTCGACGCTTCACCTCGGTTTCCAAGACGTCTTGATGAGTTAAGCGTCCAGCCATAGCTTTATTTCTTATTTACGGGGTTTGTGAATGGATCAAAAATTTGTGCTGAAATAAGGCAACATCATTTAGATACGTTTGTCTTGGCTGACGAATATTCGGCAAAATTAAGGCACAAAATTGGCTGAATTTGTAAATAGTGATACTCAAATCTACATGATGTCGGCGCGGCAAAATGTTCAAATTTAATCTGAGCAGCGTACTGTACTGAATCACATATTGCCATAAAATTCGATTTGAGGCACCATTTGAAAGCTACGCATACACATCTCGCAGTAGAGCTGGATGGTGAAGAGATTCGTGGTTTTCGTACTCATTGACGGGCTGGCCGATGCATCGCTGGAAGAGCTGGGTCAGCAGACACCGCTAGAGGGAGCGCAAACACCTGCCATGGATGCCATTGCTCGTAGGCCTCCTCCGTGCTTTTTCGTTACAAAGATTTAATTGTTTCTTCTGCTTGTCCTTTCATATAGATGGAGGTCTGACTGGACTTATGGATCCCGTGGAGCCTGGATATGCTTGTGGCAGCGATACGGCGCACATGTCCATTCTAGGCTACAATCCTATCGTGTATGTCCCGAGGACGAATTTCGCATTTTCTTGCCGCTAATCTGTTGTGTTTTGCTGCATTATTGCAGTCACTACTGTGGACGCGGATCTTTCGAAGCCATGGGTGCCGGGCTGATGATGAGGAAGGGAGACATTGCCTTTAAATGTAATTTTGCAACGGTAAAGGAGAATGAAGACGGTCAAATGATAGTTGAAAGGCGGCGTGTAGACCGCAATTTTCCCGCTTGGGGCATTGAGCTCTGTAGCTTTTTAGACGGACTGTCTCTTCCGGAATTTCCTGATTTACTGGTGGCTACAAAATATGCAACTGAACACAGATGTGGAATTGTCTTCAAAGGTCGTGGACTTTGTGACAAAATAACGGGCACCGACCCACTAAAAGATCAGTACGTACATATATTCATCAATCTGCATGCTGCTCAATAATGCTTAATATGCAGCTTGCCACTAGTGTCATCGAAGCCACTAAATGACACACCTGAGGCTATGTATTCAAGCAAGGTTCTAAATGCTGTATCGAATGCCATTTATGAACGGCTGTCGAATCATCCGATCAACAAGGCACGTAGAGCTGAAGGAAAGCCACCGGCCAATGTCGTGTTGCTACGTGGTCCAGGTGAGCGAATTGATGTGCCGACATTTACAGAAATGCATGGCATGACTCCTTTTATGATTGCTCCAACATGCATCATCGCTGGTTTGGGCATTTCGCTGGGCTTTGAACTTGTGTCTGCCCCTGGTGCCACTGGAGATTACCACTCCAATTTGCGGTCAAAAGCTAAAACCGCATTAAGTGTGCTTCGTGACGACAAATTTGACTTTGGTTTCATCCACATCAAGGCAGTGGATGATGCCGGTCACGATTGTGACGTAGCTAAAAAGGTACACTTTACAGAGCTTGCGGACGAAATGATAGCTCTATTGTTGGAAGGAATTCATGCTGATTTTGGCGAAAAAGACAGTGAAATCACCATTGTCGTCACTGGTGACCACACAACACCTGTTAAATATGGAGATCATACATTTGAGCCGGTGCCATTTGCTATTGCACGTGTCGGAGCTGCGTACAAGAGGCTGCAAAGCTGTAGGAATGCTTCTAATCCGTACGAGTCTTTAGCAGGTCCATTGACAGATGAGGTGACCCGATTTTCGGAAGTGGCTGTGGCCAGCGGTGCTCTTGGTCGGTTTTCAGGAGACCAAGTCATGAAGCTCGTCAAAGAATTTCGAGATTATTAAAATGTATGTTAAATAAAGCCTGCAGAAAATTTGTTCTTCTATTTTGCTAAGCAAGTAGCTAGAGTCAGACCACCAACATACAAATGAACCATCGATGCCATGCTTGTGGTGGTCTAACTCGATATCCTTAACGGACTCATTATGGAAACCACAAAATTGGTTAATGAAGCACAAAGTTAAGAACCAACTCGCCACACATTATACAGAAAGACCCTGGCGTTGAGGGAAGATCGCAAAGTGTGTACTGTCGCGTGGATCATTGCGGAATCTGTCCACCATATTCCGTTTCAGAAATGATATTTGTTAGATTCGCTGTCAAATTCTTAGCATTGACGTGTTACCTCATACTTTGAAGCAGCAGGTGCGCACTTCATAATAACATCTGCAGTAAAGCGTCAGAAATGCGCAGCCTTCTACGTGATTTATAAGCCTCTTTTGCCCCGCTCTGAATACCTTCCTGCAAGGAAATAGCAATAGATGCAATCTCCAATAACGTGTGACATGTCTAATCACACAAAATGCTCAACATGATCGAAACAGGTCTGTAGATATACACGATGCAACACGACACCAGACGGCTTAATTATGGCATGATCAGCCATTCCCACGGCATCAAATTGCAGTGATGTGAGATTAAATATTTGCGTGAGGTGCTGGTTAAATCTTTGGGTAAAGTCGACAGCGGTGCACAGACATGCTGTTCTGCAGCACATCCATATAAAAAGTTGCGCAACGCACAAGCTTATTCAAAGTATGCACAACTCGCCGCTAATCGTTTGCATTTCTGAGAAAGTCGGCGCCGAGTTGGAAGACTTGCGATATCCCGTCAATTCCGCTTTATGCTAAGCATGGAGAAAAGCACTATAGCGTCGCGATGTTTTGCTAGTAACGGTCATTGTCGTGTTGTGCGATATTTGTATTTAGAACCAGGTCAATTTGATGACGAACTCCCCGGTCCGGAGGCAAAACCCGTAGCGGGTCCATTGTCACCACACATTTTTGTCGACAAAGAGTAAATTAATCTGTAGGATCCTTGGGTAACCGAGCCATAAGGATCCTACGGGCACTTTCTGCACTCAGTTTTATAAAAACATTATCAAAAACGGACTCATATGTGATGCATGACGAGCTCAGCTCTTCCAGCGGCATTATCATTACGGACTCGGTAATTTCACCATCTTGAGTTTTTTTTGCATGTAGAATCGAGCTCACGTGAATTGGTGGTACTTGTCTCAAGACCTTATTCCCGGGTAGGGATGGAAAACTGATGTTATCATAGTAACTCCGCCTACGAGTGTATTTAAAGCTTTTAATGATCTGCACGGTGGGCACATCACTTGGTTGCGGACTCAGTTGTCCCGCCTGCGTGTCATGGTGTTTTTTATCCTTTTGATTCAGGCGAAGCTTAATAGCACCATAATTAATACTAGATAAAGGTCCGCGGACATGTGGACAGACAGATACACATTTCGTTTACAATCGTGGTTGTTACCCCTAGCTAATCAATTTTGATACAACCGTGAGCAATTAGGTATTTAGGAGGCGCTCACAATTCTAGCACTAGACGTAGACTGCGGAGCTAGCAGCTCTTCGTCGGCCGCCGAACGGAAGCCGTATTTCACATGAGGGAACATTTTGGAAAATGACAGAGAAAAGCTCCACTGAATTAGCCATTGACTCAATCCTGCTAAAATCGAGCACCAGCGCGATGCAGCAACAATCTCGAACTTAGGCCGTCGCTTGCCAAAACGAGCAATAATGTCGATCCTTTTTTAAAGGATCATTGCTCTGAAAGTTTCTTGTCCGAATTTGACAAAGGGTTATGAAGCTCAGCCAAGTTTGTTTACCCGAGCGCATAGCCATCAATTGTCTATCATTTATAGACTTCTGCCATGAAAATATAATTTCCAGAATCCTTTTTGACGTTAGTGTTTAATTTGCCATGACCAATGTGACCAAGTTAACGGCGCCATGGATACGGCCTGTTGTCATCACGGCATCTCGATTAGCTGGCCAGTTCCGCCACGTTGGTGGCGATTGAAGTTATGCCGAG